CCATACATTTTACTTTCCACGGGTACTTTTATTTTGACATTTCTATTTTTTCTTTTCCTGGCAGAAGGGGGCTTCAGCGTTTTAAATTATATGAATGAGCATCTCTAATCCAGCTGTCAGTCAGTCTTTACAGACGCTTGGTGTATATAGTCTTAAACTAGTAAACACTGAATATGGTCAAAAGCATTTTTTATTACTAGTTCCTGTACCTTTTTAGGATAAATTATATATACTTTTGAGATTATGAGATTCATATACTTAGATACAGAATTATTTTAATAGTTTCTACAGCTGTTCACTAAAGATGAAGAAACTTTTAAATAAGACAAACTGGGAGTTAAACAAAATGTCAAAACTATTTTATCATCATCGTCACAGCATTCAGTTAACTGAAGAAAAACATTAATAAATGTTAATATTTCTCACCGTACATGAAGACGAGTCCTGCAGCTCACATCCACACTGTCACCTCCACCACACACACACATATCTGTGTTTAATCCTTTGCACACACACACACACACTGACCCCGCCTCCTTTCTATTCACTGTCAGTGGGGGGAAAAACTCATATCTCCACATTCAGCGACTGATTAAATGTCAGAGGACGATGTTGAAAATTGATTTTTTTTTTTTTTTCATCTCTGCTGTTTGTTTTAATCCCAGATATTAAAAAATGACATTTTGGGGATTTAAAGTTCGGTGTTAACGTCCTGTTTTTATTCCTGTTGGTTAACGAGTTAACGTGTCAAAGCAGTATTAACATTTTCACCAGCTCTTAACCCTGAATGGTTCCTGTGTGAGTGTGTATTACTCATGTTGTGGGGGACATAAATCTGTTTCAACAGTCCCGTCATGTAATCACCTTCATAATTAGGACAAAATGCCCAAAGTCCCAATAACATAACTCTTTTAATGTTACGATGAAGGTTTAAGTTTAGGGTTGGGGTTAGTATCCTGGAAATGAATGCAAATCAATGTAATGTCCTCTGAAGTGATGGAAACACGACTGTGTGTGTGTGTGTGATCCGGGCCATGTGCAGCAGCTCAGCGCTCTATAATCTGCTCTGGATTTATTTATCATTCCAGCAGAAACGTATCAGAAACCTGCAGAACGGAGGCTGGAAATACTCTGCTTTAGTAGTATTCAACGCAGTAAAACTACGCCGTGTTTACTGGGAGCAGGAAGACAAGAAACTACAGTTACTTGTCTGAACTGTCCCAGATATCATGTTGTTAAATGCATGAGAGGTCAGCAGTGGCTTTACCTGCATTTCTACAGTAAGAGGTCCTTCGGTGTGTGTTCAGTACGTCTTTAGAGATAATAATGTTCACATTAGGCCTCTTCAGAGATTCATCAACTAATCTCTGCTTCAGGCCTCTAGAAAGTTTGTATTTTCATTGTCTTCTATGATAAAACAAACTGAATTTTGTTGGTTTGGCCAAAACAAGACATTTTACAGACCAAACGCTCAGCCGAGAGAAGTAAAAGCACGCAGATGAACTGATAATGTAAATACTTGTTAGTTGAACCCTAATTCAAATATCGCTATATTTTAGAAAACAAGATTTAAACCCGATTAGGCTGCACCTCCACTGAAACTGGTGGAAATTGTTGGCCGAGTGAGGATGATTATTGAGATGTACTGATGTATTGAAAATGTACTGCGTAGTGTAATGAGTAAAATTTGTCTGAATGTTTGGAACTACGATTTAACAGATTGTATTTCGACCGTGTATTGCAAGTACACATTTGAGGTATTTGCACTTTACATGAATATTTGTCAATTTCTACTTCTATTCCACTACGTCTATTGTACTTCACTACATTTATCTGCCAGCTTTAGTAACTGGTTATTGTACAAAGTAAGATTTTTAGTTGTTCAGAGTTTAAAAAACTTGTTTTGCTATAAATTAAACTCCAACAGTTTATCCAAGTACAGATAGTACAGAGATTTAATTAGCAGCTTTTTTGATGATCGTTTTTTGATTATTTGAAAGTATTTTTTAACAATAAAACAACAAATCAGAGGAAAAGACGAAGATGAAAGTGATGAAAACTACGAACAAACACAGGATGAACTTTGCAGACTGACTAACTTTATAAACATTATTATATGAAAGGAACCTTTGTGTTTCAGTTTCAGTGACTTGAACACATCTGCTGCCTTCATGAACCCGATCATCACGAATGCACTTGTTATTTTAAAGCACATATGAATGAATTTTAAAAAGTCACTTAATGTAAAGAGGCGACAGCATCAGGTGGAAATATCTCTTATTTCTGAAGCGGTTACCTCCGGGCGTCTGATGGTCCAGCACAGAGCAGAGGTCCCGCAGGAGCCTCCGAGGAGCCTGGGACACGGTCGACATGGCGACGGCCCTCGGCAGCGACATCCCCCTGGTCAGGCTGGGTATGCTCACCCCTCGGGGTATGCTGGGCATGGTGGGCATGCTGGGCATGGTGATTCCTCTGGGCAGGGAGCTGAGCAAGGTAGGCATGGTCACCCCCCGCGGCATGCTGGGAAACCTGGGAAGAGTCCCCGGCATCTCCGCGGTGATCTGGCTGCGACGGGGTGTGAAGGTGGAGTCGTCCTGAAGAAGAGGAGGAGGAGGAGGACGGAGAGGTGGGATGAAGGAAGGACTCTGAGCAGAGGAGAGGAAGGAGTGAAGGAGGAGAAGGGAAGAGGAGGGAAACCAAAAGCTTCTCTCTCTCCTTCCTCCACCTCCTGCCTCCCCACATTCCTCCACGCTTAACCCCTTCAGTTCACTCACAGGGAGGCAGTAAATACACAGTAAATACACAGTAAAACTCACTAAATACACAGTAAATACACAGTAAAACTCACTAAATACACACAGTAAATACACAGTAAAACTCACTAAATACACACAGTAAATACACAGTAAAACTCATTAAATACACAGTAAATACACAGTAAAACTCACTAAATACACAGTAAATACACAGTAAAACTCACTAAATACACACAGTAAAAACAGTAAATACAGAGAGATCCGGCACTAAGGATCAGACTTGCCTTAAAGGTTTGTATTACTGCTGATGGCTGGTACATTTATTCAAGTACTGTACTTAAGTACAACTACTGAGTATTTCCATTTTATGCTGCTTTACAGTTCAGAGGGAAAAATTATACGTTTTTCTGAAAACTATAGTTACAGCATTTGATCAATAGATAAAGTGGGATACAGTGGTGTAGATTAAAGTATAAAGCAGTAAAAGCTGTGATATTAAAATACTTATGTGTCAATGCATCACTAATAATATTCCAAGTATATGACTTTCCATACTTTACCTACATTTTAAAACTTTTGTTCTGCTTTGAGTGCCGCACTTTTACCTGTAACAGAGTATTTGCACAGAGTTGTACTGTTACTTCTACTTAAGTAAAGTACTTCCTCCACTGTTGCCGGGGGCAGCAGGACACCGCGTCACAGCTTCAGGCTTCACTCGACCCATACGTCACGCTGAAGATCATGTGCTCATATGATCAAAAGCTTCAGAACAGCTGCTAAATGTGCTGCTGATGAACTGCTTCCTACCCAGCCTGTACTGCAATACAAGTATTTTACAGAGGTATTGCACAGTAGGAGTGTTAACAACGCAGAGTATTCCCTTCATATAGTACTGGATTAGTGGTGCATTAAAGTGCACGCAGCAGGTTGCAGCTGATTTCATGTGATGATCTAACGCGTCGCCGGCTGATCAAATGTTAATCTGAAAATAACCGCAGCTGTCTGACACACGAGCTGAAGACAAAGATTATTAAAGCTCACTGGAAAATCTGGTTCAGAAGATTAAACCAGCACAGAACGCAAATACTCAAGTAGAGTACGAGTACCTTAATAACATGGCAGTCACACTCAGAGGTCCTACCTGCTCGACTCCAGCCCTGCGCTCTTCCAGCGGTTCCCTCCGACGGACGGACGGCTGCTTATGTAACATCTGCTGAACCTCGACTGGCTGGACGCTCCGGATCAGCGATCAATAGGTTTGATCGACACAGCGCTCCGCAGGCTGAGCCGACGCCGACATCACAGCATGTTCCCAAAAACTTTCTTTACATCTGGGAATTTAAACTCAAGAGTTACAAGTTCAATAATACTGCTAAAATATTTGTAGTACTTTGTGAGAGAACATCAGAGCACAGGGTGTACTGGTCGTGTAGTCGTGGTATCAAAACACTATTTCAAGGCGAGCAGCGTCCATAAAGGCTGCACCAGGAGGGGAACACCACCAGCCTCCTGCTGTGGTGACGGAGGAGGAGGAGGAGGAGGAGGAGGAGGAGGAGCAGCAGCGCCCCCAGCTGTGTGATGCTGGTTACTGCACTTCTGTTTCTTTGGGTCTGAACCCAGAGGATCCTGAGTGGAGCTTAAACGGGTGTTTCAACATGTTTGTGCTGTAGGAACGTGTC